AAGGCACTTCATAAATAGCTGTTTTGCTCTTCTAAATGATGTTGTGTTTGAAGCAAAGAGCTTAAAGATTTAGATCAGATGCAAACTCTAACCATATCATGCAAATGGGCTCATTCTAGAGGCATAGGTTATCATGGTTCCATAAATCCTTCTGCTTCAAATGGAACCCCATACCTTGATTTGGGTAATTGGTGCAGGGAGCACTATCTTTAGAAAAGTCCATTTTTTTAACGTTTCAGAAAATGCAATTTGGTCTTGAATAGCTGGTCACAAATAAGATAGCTAGTATAGGCTGATTTTTAGAATTGGAAAATATTCTGACCTAGGACTTTTCTGCCAGGGGCTTTTATATACATCAACTCATTTCATCCTCACAACAAACTGGAGGAGTGGATACAATGGTTACATTTTACAGATGAGGAAGCTGGGGTTGAGACAGACCCAAACCCTAGCGATCTGCCCAGTATATTTTGCCTCCTCCCCATACTCTGAGGGAGTTTTACTCTCAGAATCATGTTGCCATATATTTTGAATATATTTTTTTCATTCATCATCCTGTTATTCGTTGATTGCCTCGAGCAGGCCCCAGTAACGTCTCTTTCATCCTAGCCCTGAGATTATATTCAAGGCTCTTTAGGAGAATGAGACCCATCATTGTTACTGGTATTTGGCATATTTGGTACGCTATGGGGAGTTTGCCAGACTCTGCCCTGTGGGCAGGCTACATTCAATAACCTGCAAGTTTGTCCAAAGTAGGAATGAGATAATAAGATGTCATAAAAAGATGTACTGATAAGATGTCGCATTCGCGGCCGTGCGGTTCCGGGAGCTGGATTATATAGTCTCTGAGTCTTGGCCGCTGATGGGATTACACGGCGCCAGGGGGCCAGGTGGTGGGTGTGACCCCCACCTACTGGAATTTGGAGGATCTGGGTGGAGGATGCTCGACTCCAATCCGAGTAGGCTTGGAGATCTCGGCCCCGGAACCCGCGTGGCTTTGTCCCTCTGCCAGTACCTTCATGTGTGCGGAGAGTGGTCTCAGCATGGTGGTGGCTGGTCCTGGAGGTCTTTGGCTGCCGGAGCCCTGGTCGGGGCGGGGAGGAAAGCTCAACCTGCTCCCCTCCAAGGGACCCCGGCGAGGAACAGCCAGGCGCAGGGGCAGGAGACTTGAATATATATCCCATTTTCTTGTTTTTTGCATCTTCTGTGTTTACTTCTTTGGGGGAAGAGTGACACAACCAGCTGTGCTCAGGACTTACTCCTGGCTCTGTGCTCAGGAACTGACAACTCGTATATGTGCTTAAAAGACCATATGCAGTGCCAGAAATTGAATCATGGTTGGCAACATGTACAGCAAGTGTGTAAATTCCTGTACTCTCTCTGACTCTGTTTGGTACTTTTTATTTGAGTCTGACTTGTTCTCTGAAAGTTCAGCCCTTCCAGAAATACAGAATCTAATAAAGGTAAGGTAAAGGTAAAGGTCCTCCCGTTGATCGTCGATTTGCTCGAGCGGGCCCAGTAACGTCTCCATTGGAGACTTTGTTGTTACTGTGTCTGGCATATCTAATACTCTCGGTAGCTTGCGGGGCTCTCCGAGAGGGGCGGAGGAATCGAACTCGGGTCGGCCATGTTGGCCGCTTGTAAGGCGAACGCCCTACCGCTGTGCTAATAAAATTTAGTGCTAATGCCACAAAGGATGACACAGATGCCAATCAAACTGCATATCTCTCTGGAAAATAGGATTCACTTTCAACACCTATCAGAAAAGTCCCATCATAACAGGCCCTCCTCAGCTTCATAAGGCAATGAGCCTGCCCTGATTTAATTGTAAAGGGCAGTTCTATAACCTAGATCTGAACCTTTTAATTCCTGCTCAAGGAAGTCTAAGTTTTTTAAGACAAAAACAAAGCATCCATAAACAAAGGGGAGGCAGCCAGGGAAGCCTGGGGGCTGTGGGTGTCGGAGATGCTGTTTGCTACCTCACATTCATGCCGACTTAGTGTCTGTAGGGACTTCTACTGGATTTGAGGAAAGTACAGTCCAGTTCCAAGCACCTAGACTAGAGTGCTAAGGACCACAGACTTCTTAGAGCCCTCAATATCTATTCCAGAGAAAAGCTGTATTCCATTCAGTGAGAGCTTTCTCTTTTCTCGTGCAAGAAGACAGAGGATAGTGGCCTTGAGAATCCTCGAGTTCCATTGATAGTCTCTGCTTTAAGGTTCTGTCATTTGTTTCTGTCACGAGTGAACTTTGAAACAAAATCTTCATTCAATTCGGTAGCTGGGTTGACCCTGCAGCTTGATTTTATCCGGTCCCTCCTTCTACTGATCAAGCTTCTCAGACAGAGACGGATGTGTAGACTTGCCTTTCTCTATTTTTTGAGCCCATGTGGTGCAATCACAGAAAACACCTCCTGGGTCGGAAGGGTCAGTGCTACCTGCCTAGTCTACCTGTCTGTCCTCATGCAGCCACCTCCTCTGTCAGAATCATGCTGCCTTTGAAGATCTGGCAGAACACCGTCTCCTTATGGCTTCCAAAATGAGGTTCAGAGAAACCAGTTTGGATCTGGATCAGCAGAGGTACACAAACTGGTGAAAGGAAGTCAGTAGAAACATCTCTCTCTCTCTCTCTCTCTCTCTCTCTCTCTCTCTCTCTCTCTCTCTCTCTCTCCCTCTCTGTCTCATCCCTCCTCTCTTTCTTCCTCTCTGTCTCCCCCATCTCTCTCTCTCTCTCTCTCAAATATGTGCTTTCAGGGGAAGAATTATATGTCTGTGAAGCAATGTAAAATAAGAAATTTGTATGAATGAAACTTAAGATGCTCTTTGGGCCCCAAAGAGTTAGTACCAAGGCTAACCCCCACACAGCTGATCCTGGCCCCAGCATCAGCACCACATGGTGCCTGGGCCCTGCTGGGTGTGACCCAGGTAATCCCCAACACAAGCTCTGAACAGCATCATGTGGCTGAGAATCTACCGCCCAGTCTCCTAAGTCTGCTCTGGAGACAGCCTCCCCAACCTTCCCTCACCCGCCTTCCCCATGAAGAACGACCTCTGAAACTCATCTAAATTTATGGAAGCAAATGAGGTCAGAAGGATGAGAGGAAGCAGGTGAAAGGACTAATGTGAGAGGTTCTGGCTCCTGAGAGAGGCAATGTGTGTGTGAGCCTTCAAAGCAACCCCTCCCTCCTTCTAGATTCTTCTACCTTCATCCTGCATAGGGCAAAGTCATTCAGAGCCATTACCTAGAGCTGATGGCAGTGGTGTTTGTGAGGTAGAGGAGGAAGACAATGGGAAGGACACTTGGCAGTCTTCATGGTGTGGGGAAAGGAAAATCCACAACAAATGCAGAAACCTTGTTTAAAGGAAATGGAACAGGGCATCTTTGTCTGAGGCTCAGCTCCTTATGTACCCTGGAAATAGAAACAAGCAAACTAAATTACAAGCAACCTGCTTCCTTCTTCCTGATCCTTTCTTCCTTCACACACACCTAACTAAGCAAACATCCGGACTCTAATAGGATATTAAATATTGGCTGATGGAGTCTGACCATGCAGGAGCAACCCAGAAATGTTTACACAGGATGCCTGAGACATCAATTCTGTAAGCACTACAAGTCTAATATTCCTTAGTGAAAGGAAATCACGAGTCTGGGCTTAGCTCAGTGGTAAGAGCACAAGTCTCACATGTTTGAGTCCCTGGTAGGATCCCTATCCAAATCTTTCCCCATAAGAAAAGAATTAGGACATCTAAAAATTTTCTAAATCAAATAAGAAAATGTTACTTAATCCTAAAATTTAAGAAGGGGGTTTCCGATCTTTTGCATGTTATTGATACTTATATTTTTAGCATGGACACTTTGAGTTTTTTTTTTCTGTTTTCTATTGGAGGGGGATCCTGAGGGAGGAGTCTCCCAAATGGAAACAGAAGGTTGGGGAGGGGGTACCAACTGAATCTGCAGTTCAGTGCAAAGACCTGATAATAAAGGCACAGTGGTGCTGGGGTCCTCCAAAGCTGCAAGCAACAATGCTTGGGGGAACATTTAATGCCAGGAAAAGAACTGGATTGGTGCATTATCTCCCGGTCTCTGAGACAAGAATTTTATTACAAGTTAAGGAAAGACTTTCTCTTCACATTAACTTCCATTTCCCTCTTTTGCACAATAAAGAGAGGTGTGTGTGTGTGTGTGTGTGTGTGTGTGTGTGTGTGTGTGTGTGAATAACTTCAAATAGAGAGCTTGCTGATTTACTGTTTGGTGCCCCAGTAGTTCCTTCCATCACAGAGCAGTTTATTATGCACTTTGTGACTTTTCTAAAATGGGAACACTGACTTCTCCATTCTACAGAAAGCAATGGGAATTGCATCACAGAAAGAGTAGTAATAAAGGGAAATAAAGGGGTTGGAAAGACCCGAGGTGAAGCGCTGACAAGTTGGAATTTGTACATTGCCTGAGTCTCACTTTTGTCCCTGTCCTCACATTCATCTTCCCTAAAGGGTAACTGGGCACTTGACTCATTTGGTTCCTATGGTCTTTGTATATCTATTTCCCAATAAAGACTCAGTATAAGAAAAATTCTGGTGTGTGTGTGTGTGTGTTGCTGTTGTTGTTTACTATGGGCCAATTACCATTTTAACATATGTTGCTGCCAATCAAAAAGATTATTAACTAGATACTTGACAAGCAACCTTTATGTTCAAAATATGGCATTTACAAAGCTCTTACCAAAAAGAAACAAATGAATGAATCTTCTTTTTTTAAAGAATGAATGGATGAGTTGTTTTTGCTTGAAACTTCTATGTGGTGCTAACTTGATACCAGTCGATCCCAAGAAATGCGTCCCACGTGGCAAGCCAGCCTGCTTGTGAAGGATTTGGTGGGGGGAGGAAGTGTGTTTGTCACAATATGAGAAAGCACAGAAACCTAAGCAAAAGTCATTTACTTCCTCTATACAACCATTTGCCACATATTACATCAGTCTTATTTTTCCTTCCTGATCCCTCCAGGACAGAACGTTATTCCATCCCGTGAGCAACAGCTGCATGGATTGCAACCCCGCAGAGAAGAGAATTTTCATGGCCAGATGTGATCCTCTCTCTGAGACTCAGCAGTGGATTTTTGAACATATTAATATGACTGTTTTGGAACATTTTAACCACCATGCCAGCGCCTAGAAAGAAGGAAGCAAGAAAGAGTGATTACCTACAGATTGTTTCAAACTACGTAACAGCCAGCATCTGGGTCCAAGGAGTCAGGAATAACATTTCCTAGATCCAGGAAGCCTGGTTTAAAGATTTGTAAATGCCATGTCAAAGGAGGATGTCCTGAAGAATTTCCTGCATCTGAAGAACTTGGCTGAGAACCTCACCAGCTGCTTCTGAGAACTTGACACTAGCAGTTCCCTTGCTGGCCAAGGGCAAAGATTATTTAGGGACTTTTCGAAACAACTGCTGAGTTAATCAATCCTAGCCTTTCTCAGGTCAAATCCTGCAGTAGTGAGTAGCTATGAATGGATCCTACTATTGGGCGGGAGGGGGGTAGAAATGGAGCGCATGTCAGCTCTGACAGCTGAGGATTCGGCAGGTGTAGAACTAGCCACACAGACACGGGGTGAACTGTCCTCTTCGGTGCCATTCTCTGATTAAGAAGGGGTTAAGCAGGTTTAACCCTTAAAAGTGCTGCAGATGATTTTAGAGTGCTCATACCATTCTGTTTTCATGTTTTTGTTTTTGTTTTTTCCCAGTTTGGGGGGCACACTAGTTCATGTAACAGATCACAGAACGAAATGGACTTCGAAGATACCCATTTTTTTGTATTCACCTTTGCTGTTTCCTTTCAGAGCAGAGGTGATTTCCTGTTCATAAAATGTTTGCACCACAAATCAGCTGAAGTTCTAATTCAGTGCCCCTTGTATGAATCCAGTTAAAAATAACAACAAACTATGCTACCAAGTTACTCCAAAGAGAAAGATTTTACAGAAGCAGCAAAATCATGTAAGATTTAGGAGAAGGATTTCTATTTTTACTTTTTTATTATTTTTTAGAATTTTAAAGTCTGATGTTTGTTCAGTCATAATTTTTATTAGGGAAGGAAATGGAGTGAAGTTGATGTAATTTATTGAGGAGATTCTTAAGCCCAAATAAATCTACACTCCAAGTGATATCTGAAAATGGCTTGGTTCACTTCAATTCTTTTGTACCAGTGCTGGGGGCAAAAACTGGCTTAATTTGTTGGGTTCAAATATTTTCCCCTTGGTTTTATATTGCTCATATCAATGATACCATTGTTCTATTTGGAAGCACAAAGAACAAACTTCCATCAATAAATTGCTTCTGACACCACTTTCTGTTAATGGGACAATATATCAGGGGTGCAGAAAGAAATGATTTAAAAACTACATATAACACTTGATCATCAAAAGAGAGTTTTAGTTTTCCATGACAATGGGAGTGGGATCAAATTGGTTTCTAGGAGAAAGAATTGAATGTATTATATGTTCTTATTTTCAGGTAGGGAAAAGTTTCTCTTGCTTTTGTTACTTTCTTTTCACTGGTTTTTCTGTGAGTGAAAATGTCTCATCATGAATGGAGGAGCTTTGAGGTTTACAATGAGTCATGACTCTCACCCCAGTTTTTAATAGATAACTTACCAAAGCCCAGAGGAAGTGGGCCTGCTTTCCTGAGGCTCTTGACCCTAGTCCATCACTGTTTTGTTCTCATTTGTTAACCAAGGGGGTTCTGCCTCTTCCTCTGCTTGAATTTGAAATTGTCCAACATGGGAATGATGAACCTTCCTGGGGGTGCCTATATAGCATTCATGTTCAGAAGCTTTAATACATGAAACCTCTTCTTATAAATGGTCATGATTTTGTTCTCTCCTCGAAATCTAATCAAAAGGTCCAGTTAAAATGTCCTACTAATAGTTGGGGAAGAGTTAGTCATTATCTTTACTGATTTTTCAAGCATTCCTTTGAAGAGCTATTCTTTTTTAAAACTGATAGTCATGGTGGGGTGTGTGTGTGTGTGTGTGTGTGTGTGTGTGTGTGTGTGTGTGTGTGTAGGTCAAGAGATCTTGAAGCATTCATGATGCAAATAGGGGAAAATCAATAGTGAGAAATTAACCTGTGTGCTGAACAATCCCAGAGAGTGAGTGAAGATTTATCTCAAGTGCTCAGAAAGCAATCTAGTTGTAGAAAAAGACGACCGATATACATTCATATTTTGTCTTTAAACAATTGACTGTGATTTAAGATTATACTAAAAAGCCAATTCTGTGTTCCATATCCTGGAGAACCCAGCTTTGCTTTGTAGGATGTTCTAATCATGAGAGTCTAACCATAGTGTGTTTGGCATGTTCTCTTGGAAAGCCTGCATATTGCATTATTCAGGTGCAATATCCAAGAATTGATAAAGACTGATTTCCTGATCCTAGAAGGATTTGTCTCTTAGTTCTAACTTCGCCTTGCATGAGGGCATATAAGGGGCAATATATGGCTAAAGTGGCAGAATACAACCTTGTAAGCACATGCAAGGCCCTGGGTTTTAACCCAAACATTATCAACACCCCCAGCTTTACCAAGTGGGACCCCCAGAAAAATGAAATAAATAAAATTCTAAGAGAATTCTGAGATCTTAAAGACAAAATTCCAAGCTCAAACTTCAAAGCTTTTAATTGTCTGCAAATAAGAATCATCTAAATATAATAAAATGAAGCCTGGAGAATTCCAAGCTGAAAGGCATAATAGCCAGTAAGCATATTTGAGGAGGAATTCCCACTTTGGACCACTGAGGGCTGGAATCCTCTTTACTTGAAATATCATAGTTACCATTCTGAAAATTAGAAAATTACATGTATTTGTATAGTTAATTGGGAAAGAAGACTTAAATTGTTATCAGCAAGATTCACTTTCTTGGAAATAACATGATTTAGAAATGTGACCTACCCTATCTCAGAATGGCTGGGGAACAGGATAAAGCAAATCTGACCTTAGAAATCACTACTTTGCTATAACATGAAAAGGTCTCACCAGAATTTAGGAAATAATTCATTTAAAAATTTTTTGCCATGTATTTTAAAAGATGAGCTGAGAAAACAATTACAAAAATTGTGATATTTATAATTGGTCCCAAGACTGTATTAAAACCATGGAAATAACAATGTGTTGTCTTCTATTTCTGCTGCTATTTAAAAATATTATACTCACCTGACACTGCTTAAGTGTATTCATGATATCAGTAGTCTCTGTGAATAATTAAAGATCCAGAATTATTTTATCAGGTCAGTAATTTGTCACTTAGATTTCTATATAATAATAAGTTCATAACACATAATGAAAATGGAGTTACAGACCATAGATGAAAATATTAGGCTCATTCTGTGCATGTTCTTGTCAACCATAAAATCCACGCCAATGTATGATGGCATTTCTTTTAGGGTCAGTTCACAAACCACAATCACAAATCATCCTGTTATTAGTTGATTGCCTCGAGCAGGCCCCAGTAACGTCTCTTTCATCCTAGTCCTGAGATTATATTCAAGGCTCTTTAGGAGAATGAGACCCATCATTGTTACCGGTATTTGGCATATTGAGTACACCACGGGGAGTTTGCCAGACTCTGCCCTGTGGGCAGGCTACATTAGGTAGCCTGCCAGATTGCCCAAAGTAGGAATGAGATAATAAAATGTCATAATAAGATGTCGCGTGGCCGCAAATGCAGCCGCACGGTTCTGGGAGCTGGTTTTTATAGTCTTTGAGTCTTGGCCGTTGATGGGATTACACGGTGCCAGGGGGCCAGTTGGTGGGTGTGACCCCCGCCTACTGGAATTTGGAGGATCTGGGTGGAGGATACTCGGCCCCAATCCGAGTAGGCTTGGAGATCTCAGCCCCGGAACCCGCATGGCTTTGTCCCTCTGCCAGTACCTTCATGTGTGCAGAGAGTGGTCTCAGCATGGTGGTGGCTGGTCCTGGAGGTCTTTGGCTGCCGGAGCCCTGGTCGGGGCGGGGAGGAAAGCTCAACCCGCTCCCCTCCAAGGGGTCCTGGTGAGCGAGGACAGTCAGGTGCGGGGGCAGGAGACTGCACTGTTCTCTTCCAGGAGCTGGTTTTTATAGTCTCTGAGTCTTGGCCGTTGATGGGATTACATGGTGCCAGGGGGCCAGTTGGTGGGTGTGACCCCCGCCTACTGGAATTTGGAGGATCTGGGTGGAGGATGCTCGGCCCAAATCTGAGTAGACTTGGCGATCTCGGCCCCTCGACCACTCTCCACACACATAAAGGTACTGGCAGAAAGACAAAGTCACGCGGGTTCCGGGGCCGAGATCTCCAAGCCTACGTAGATTTGGGCCAAGCATCCTCCACCCAGATCCTCCAAATTCCAGTAGGAGGGGGTCACACCCACCAGGGTCAGTTAAGTCTTTAAAAAAAACAAAAAATTTATCCAAAAGGCATCTAAATATCTATGTTATGTTTTTAATTCTCCAGCAAAAAAAAAAAATCCTTTTATTTCAACTTTTTAGCACAGCGGCAGGGTGTTTGCCTTGCACGCAGCCAACATGGCCCACCCGAGTTCGATTCCTCCGCCCCTCTCAGAGAGCCCAGCAAACTACTGAGAGTATCTTGCCCCCACGGCAGAGCCTGGCAAGCTACCCGTGATGTATTCGATATGCCAAACACAGTAACAACAAAGTCTCCAATGGAGACGTTACTGGGCCCGCTCGAGCAAATCGATGAACAATGGGAGGACAGTGACAGTCACAGTTTAACCACTCTCATCATAAACAAAAAAGGAATTTTTTCCATTGAAACGACTGGAACAATGAACTTCATATCAGACCCATTCTTCCATGACACTGTGATTATGAAGTTTTTTATGAAGGTCACACCTGCCTCCAGATTAAGTCCTTGGCTCTGGAGGTCACACACCTGAAATTCAGAAGAGAATCTCCTGTCCTTGACACTCATCTCCTGTCCTTGACTTCCTATCTGAAGAGGTACAGAAGCTTTCTCGGCACTGGGAAGTTTCCCCAACTTTCCAGTATGGGATCTAGGATTCAATATGTATAACCATGAATATGATTTACCCCAGGGGATTCTTTTAGTAAAACCTCTTAAGCATTCTTAGCCTGGCAGGGATAGAAGACTGCAATATGCTTTCAGAAGCAGGCGTGGAGATATGGAAATAAAGCCTTTTATATAAATCCTAGGAAGGAACTCCTCCTGGGAAAACTAGTTTTCAGTGATTCCCTAGGATCCTGGGAGTCAGTGTAAACGGCAAGAGGTAAATTGTACCTCGTGGACACATAATCCTCTCCATTCACCACATTGACAAGTTGTACCCTGGCCATCATAATTCTCAGATGACATCTCTCACTGTAATTACTCTCCACGTGTGAAACGGTGGCAGAGAACCTTAAAGTGTGACAAGTGGCCAGGCATTCCCACACTGCCAGCGTTGGAAGATTGCACTTTGATTTATGTCTGTAGCCTTTGCATGCAGACCTGGGAGAGCCTTGCTACTCTATTTGGTAGGCCTGACACTGGCCTGAGGCTTTTATTCACGGCCCTCTAGTCTTAACACTTGGCACACCTGGCTGGGATATCTGGTACTATAGTTTCTCAGCACAAAATCACTCAGGCCCATGTCCAAGTGTTTCCTCAGAGGAATCTGAGAACGATTCCTCAGTCCCTTTTGCCTGAAGATGCCATCTAGGGTTTCTGCTCAGCACTTCTCCACGTTGATTAAATCCACTGGTAATGTCCAACCTCCAAGCAGACAACTGCTTCATTTCTACACTTATTGCTGATGCATTTATTCTGACACCATTGGCCTTAAGAAAAGTGTAATAATAAGTCATAAAGGATCTGGTTTACTGGGAATAGTCCTGGTTTTTGCCTACATTCCTGCAAAATTATTAACAATTTACACTTGAAAGTAACATTGTTCTCATTTAAATCGTAAATTGTATGTATTATCTCCAATTTGCCTGTCTATCTATTTCATAGTTTCTCTGGGCAAAGTTCAAATGTCCTTTATTTATCAATACCTACACAGCAGAAGAATTAGTATTTTTACCCTTTTCCTCCAAACTTAGTTGACTTCAAATAATTTTCCAAATACTTTTCCAAGCAAGAGCTAATTAGATCCCCACAGCCAGCAATGCTATTCTCAACATTATGATAAAGAATTTAGGTAAATAGACAAATAGATGAATAAAGTTCATTTACATTGTTGTTTTTAAAGGTCATGCAACCATTATATCTTACACCGACTCTAAGGTATGCAATATCATTGTCTTTAAGAAGAAATGGAAGGCTTATTGTGAAGAGACTTACTTGCTAGCTCACATATGTTTATAGCATCCCCAGGGTAGAACCCAACATTCTGCTGGTGAAGCCTTAGCTTTTTCTAC